ACAAATAGAAGCAGACATCAATCACGAACCTGTCCTGGCACAGAAGAGGTCTGCGTAACGTTTCTGACACTGCATGGTCTCGGGATCCACGTCTGACGACCCTCCGTACAGAACCAACTGGTCGGCCATCACCGTGGCTGTGTGCATGCCGCGCGGGGCGGGTTTGGCTCCACAAACTGCCGGCTGCAGCCATTCTCTGGTTTCTGAACAAAAAGAGAAAACATGAGTCATTTCTGGATCGAAATAGCAAAGAACTTGGATCCTGACATCAAGCTTTTAAAAACATATTACAACAAACCACTTAATCTTAATAATAACTCTATAATATCTGAACTTGTATGTCCATGTATTATCATGAACCACTGCTTAAACTGTAACAATGAGCAGTGTAAAGAAGACCCCCGACTATCCCCCCTTGAACTCTTGAAAAGCAGCTAAGGCTGAAGAGTGTACTTTTCTACTTTTCAAGGTTAAGTAATGGTGGGGAAAAAAGCTGTGGCTGATCACAGCTTGTTACTCTCCCTTCTGATAGTTCATGACAGTAGATTTTCTGAGGAAGATCTTAGTGCTACTGAAATTTTGCCAGGTTAATCCTTTTGGCTCTGAAAAATGAACTGTATTACGATTTATATACGAACCTGATGAAACTCATAAAACTTTACGTACTTGTGTCGAAGATGTTGAAGTCTGCGAAGTGCTGGTCTTGCACGACCCCTCCTCCTGTGATGACCACCCTGTCGGCCGACTGCTGTAGCCGTGTGGAAGGACCGTGGCTCTGGCTGCTGACCGGTCGTCTTCAATTGTTGCCACTTCATCGTTTCTGGAAAATAAGTCATGAAAAATGTATAAAATGTGTCTATGTATGGTGAAGTTAATAATGTTCAATATGATGAGAAAGGTTTGAATCAATACAAATTCTACAGGAAACAAATAAACAGATTTCTTAAAAGTTCACAGAAAAAATTTTAACTGTAAATGATGACCTTCAGTTTGAATGTTTTTTAAGGCCTCAAATATTTTCTGCTCACCTGTATCAAGAACATACAGATCATTCTTCCTTGCCTCCCTGTCTCTTCCTCCAAAGACCACCAACTTTTTCTCAACAGCACACAGTGCATGTGCTGCTCTTGGTGTTGGTGCTCCCAGCTTGATGGGTTCAGGGTTCTCCCATGTGTTCGTCTCTGAAAAAAAATTAGATGTAATTTTTTAATTACCTTTACCAGTCAGCATCATTCTGTACAATTTTATTGCATGCATGGCATACCGACCAATGTGAGTGCCAAAAGTTCAAGTGGTGAAAGTGAGGTCATTTTTTCAACTGTATCAGATGTACAGTAGGTCTAGCCCAGTCTCACCCACCTGTGTCAAAGATGTAGAGGTCATCATACCAAGTGAACTTTGCCCCCTCGACCCACGTCCTCCTCCTCCTCATCTTCACTCATGGTGGACTCCTCCGTGTCCCAGCCATCCTTGGGGCCAAAACCACCAAAGAAATACACCTTGTTCCCAACGGTGGCTGAAGCTACCTTGTCTCTGGGGCTTGGGGCAGGACCCTGTGTGTCAGTCAGCTCCTTCCATGTCCAAGTATCTGTGATTTATGGAAAATATATGTACTAATGTAGTTGACAAACTTAGACAAATAGGAGAACAGGAATTATGTTTTCTTGTGGTGTGAACCTCCTCAAGTTCAAGACAGTTGAAGGACTATAATTCCAGTACCTCAGGGTGACAGCCAGAGACAGTCTTGGAAGACCTTATGCAGAGACACTATGCCCCTAGAGTGAGCAAAAATATCTAAGGTTCAAACTCTTGACTTCCAGATCCAGAGATGGAGAAAAAAAAGTATTGTCTGTGAAGGTGTCTATATGTGAATCCTTGATCAGGTAAGATAGGAAGAAAACACTCTCACCCGTGTCGAGAACAAACAAGTCATCTAACCAGCCGACGTCATGGCTCAGTCCCCCAAACAGGTACAGCTTGTTCCCAACAGCTGATATGGTAGCTGCGGAGCGAGGGCACGGCAGCTGACCTTTAACCTGCACACTGCTCCAGGTGCCTTTCTCTGTATCATAGTGGAAATAAGGGCATAATCTGTATACTTGATAACATTTGGTTGGAGATAGATAAGTCAAATTCTTGTATGTAAAAGCAAATTGTTACATCTCAACCTACTTCTATATCAAAACCTGTTTCATATAATTATACTGTAATTAATATGAATTCTAATTCCATGGCCTTGGAATGGTTGGATCAAGGAGGTTAACTTGAATTCTTCTTGTGCTTCTGCTTGTCTAGGATACTACAATAGCTCTTTTCAAGTCGTGGCAGACAGCAGCTACTACTACTTCTGTTAGAAATGGAGAGTGAGATAGGTATAATTTGTATATCTATATTTATTGATTATTATTTACTTTAATTTAATTATAAGCCTACTGCCCATCCTTGGGCATTAATTTTCATCCTAGACATTTATATAGCGGTCCCGGCTTTGGCGCCAAACATGATCGATGAAATATATGTTGCCTTCTTTGCTCCATCAATTTGAGTTTACAGCTATTTTTCATGTAAATAAAATGACATTCATGATCCTTACTAACCGACGTCATAGCTGATGACCCCGTTACTCTCCTGCACTCCCTCCAACACTCCTCCGAAGACGACCAGCTCGCCCCCCACCCCACAGGCGCAGTGCCCCTCCCTGGCGGGAAAAGGGCTAGGCTGTCCCGAGGGCTTCCACTCCACAGAAACGTCGTTTTCCAGACGCTCTCCGTATGTCTGACTCTGTGAAGACGCTTCGTTCCCCATTTCTCTGCACGTTTCTTATGATATTCACAATAACTTCAAGACTTCTCGGAGCTGGGATCGCAGAAGCTAACGCAGACGTCTTGCTTTGAAAATGATGAGATTTTGGCGCGAAATCCGTGCTCGATGAGTGCTAAGCTGTGATTGGTCAAAATTGCTCAGATGTCCCTTCCAGTGTTTTCTTTAGCAAATTTGATAAATAAAGCGATGAAAAAAACCATCTCCAAGGGATTTTTTTTAGTTTTAAACACAAGAATATACTCATTGGGATGAATATGAATTTCAAAATCGTTTTTGGTCGAGTTTTTGGAGATGAAATATCGCGATATTTCGCGGATCGCGAGATCTCAGTCGGCGGATCGCGCAAAGGACTGTGGGACGGTCTTTACCGGGTCGCCATTTTGAGTTGTTGAAAGTTGAGGGAAAAAGACAAAAACTCCACCATGTTTCGTGCCCTAGCACGCTGTGCCGTTAACGTTGCAAGGGTGTCAAGACCAACAGTCACGCAGAGAGTCGCCACACCGAGTTTAGGTAAGGAAATCCTCATCAAGTTGTAGTTCTTTGTCAAGGTTTATGTTCGTCTTTTGTGACCCCTGCGTTTTTTCGACCTTCAGTGTCTTGTGGTAGCAGAACACAGTTTTCGCCCTATGGGGATTTCTATAGTTAAGGACCCCAAGATGACTCACTTCGACGCGGTAAGAATTATAGCAGGGTGCACTTCACAAATACGAAAATCGAATATGTTTCAGAAGAAGGTACAAACTACAAGATATCTAGAAACGAACAAATCCTGTCGGCGTATCTGCTCGAAACGTACACTTTGAAATCGCCTCCTACGGACGTGACCTGAACTGCAGCCGACTCACCCGGAAAGCCAGTTGCGCAATACGGCGCATTTATACACGAACTGCAAAACCTTCACAATTCAAATCACACAGTCTCAAACCCGATACATTCCTACACCACACAGCACAATTTACATCTGGCTGACGCTCTTATCAGTCTTTCTACCCAGCCTTCAAGAATATTCGCTGCACTACTTTCTATACCCGCGTCATCGTCCCCGGGGGTCGCCCATTAATACTGTGACCTGCTACCTTGAACCAACTTGACCTTGGATTTTTTTTCGCTCAGTCGACAAAACTAGACAAGATGCGAAACCTGGCCAAATTTTAGTTCACAACTCCAAACGGTTGCTGAGATATTGCCAACTTTGCACTTCGGCACCTGCCATAGGGCTAGGTCCCGTCCAAGGCCCGTACGAGGGGCCATTTAGTGGTCCTATTATCCAATAAAATGTACTATTCTGGCCCTCTTTTCTTGTTAACAATGATCATCAGTGCCTACTCTATCATTTAGAGTGATTTTACTTTAGTGTAAGGACTGTTACGGTCAAAGGGAGGGGGGTGAACGCGGCTTCGGGGCGGTGGCACTTCCCTACTAAGTCCCATAGTTAAGCATAGGCGGCGGTCATAGCGGGCCGTTGCCATGGCAACGGGGGTCTGACGGTGAAACAAACTGGTACATTTTAAGTGAGTCTACGTCAGTACTTGGTATACCAAGAAAATTTGGTCGAAAATACCGCTGCTTGGAATTAATGGCTGATTCCCGTGTCTGTTGAAGGTAGCAGAACACAGTTTTCGCCCTATGGGGATTTCTATAGTTAAGGACCCCAAGATGACTCACTTCGACGCGGTAAGAATTATAGCAGGGTGCACTTCACAAATACGAAAATCGAATATGTTTCAGAAGAAGGTACAAACTACAAGATATCTAGAAACGAACAAATCCTGTCGGCGTATCT